AATTTTATTATCATCCTCTTCCTCTGTTTCTCTTTTCTTTTCTCAAGTTAATTGGCAATATTTATGTGCCCAGTATGTTATCAACTTGAAATTATTTTTTCTATCTTCATTTCACAACTCTTACTACAACTCAACTTCTTATGATCATAATTATCACTGTTAAATGTTGATAACCTCGTAGCTGACATTTATGTCTTATTGGTATCCTCCCTAAAAGCATCATTGCTCTCAAACTGTCAGTGGCTTTCTCTTACTACATATTTAATTAAAACTCTTTTGCTTATGTTTCAGAAGCCTACATAAGGTACATGAAGCCTACAAAACTAATGTTGTTTTCCTCTAACATGGCTATGTTAACTGTCCTTTTGACCACTCACTGTTTTACACCAATCTCTATATTTTCTTTGCAGCAACTAGCTCATTCCTGCTCTCATGCCTTTCTTTTCATTGTACTCCCTTCCTAGAATGCCATCTCTTTTTTTGTGTCCACCTTAACTCCATCTCTTCTACAAAAACATACCTGAATGCACTGATGCATTTCTTCTCTCTTAACACCTTTGGTAGTGACATACAGTTACAGTATACTTACAGTCTCATTGTTTGTACACTTTCTTTCTCCTCTGCTATACCAATAACAGTCCAGAGTCAGCACATATATATTGCCTAGTTTCTTACTTTGTGTAATTAATCCGTTAATAATTGTAACTTATTTATTGATCAGGCATTCTTTACCATGCGCTTTCCTAAGTGTTTTGTATACATCATGTGATTCCTGTCTCACAGTACCTTTATAAGGTCAGTTTCATTTATCCCTGAATTTACAGATTAAGGAATTGTGACTCAGAGAAGTTGCCCAAGGTCACATGGCTTAAAAACTGCAATTAGAATTCAGTTCTGCCTGTGTCCAAAGCTCTTGCTTTTTAACTTTTCCACTAGAAGTGGAAACCATGGTCCTTAAAGGAGCTTAAAATGTTGAAGAGACAAAAATCTAGATTACAGAGCAATTTGGGACAAAAAATGAGAGTTCCTTATATATATATATGTAGGTAATATAGATGAACTTTGAGTACCAGGAATACATGAAGTAATGAAGAATAGATTCTAACCTAAGCATTTGTAATTGTTTCCTTAAAAACTCCTTGTCTAAAGGAGGCATAGGTATGGGGTACTAAAAGACAATAAGAATGTGAGATTTTAAGTAATAGAAAGACTGGAAAGCTCTGATAAGTGGTGAAGTTTTAGAGATTACATCCAATCCCTGACACATTAGTTTCAGGGTAAGAGTCAAGTTATTCTTCAAGGCTAAAATACTGTGAGTCTGGTTAAACTAATGAAATTAGTGCTCTCCGTGTTCTCTTTCAGCTCTGCCACTTTGTTTTGTTTTGTTTTTTTGAGACAAGGTCCCACTGTGTTTGCTGTGTCGCCCAGGTTGGCCTCAAACTCCTGGGCTCAAGCAACCCTCCGGGCTCTGCCTCCCAAAGTGCTGAGATTACAGGTGTGAGCCACCAAACCTGGCTCAGCTCAGTCTTTTATGTTTAACGTCGTCGGTTTGTTTAGTGTCATCTGTTTGTTTCTGATATTTTAAACAACTTCACTATCATAAAAATATGTTCATCATAATATACCTTATGTTCAACTTTGGGTTTTATCTGTCATTGTTTAAAGAAATATGTTAACCAGATTTTAGCTTTAAGACATACATACATACATACATACATACATGCATGATGCATACAAACATAAGTGGGTTATATAGTTCTCCAGTGCCTGTTATTCCATCCTTTAAAGTGCTGGTGCCCTTCTACTACTCACTAGATTTCATGCTGCTTCGCACTCTACAAGATCAACCAATGATTCTGTGACTATAGACTTCTCTTAGGGCAGACACGTTTCATTAGGCTTGATTTTGCTTCAAGAACATTTGATAAAATGAAGAAAATGTTCATCATTTCTTGGCTTCTTTGTTTTAAAATCAATCACTACACATATTTTAATAGATAGAAAAAGGAGCATAATTTTTTGAAAGTTTGATTTAAAATAAGTCACAGCAGCATTTTAAGAAAATTATCCACTTTTACACATATAGATAGGTAGAAGAATTATTGTCAGCTTCTTTAAGTTTACTGAACTTTTGTATTAACTTGTGAATGGGCAAGTTAGAATCCAGCAGTATTAAAATTCCTGATTGATCTTATCTGTGCATACTCAAAGTATGTTAAATTCTCTAGGACAAGAGTCAATTTTGCTTTTGTATTACAATAAAACTTTTAAGAAATCATATATATGACAGCAAATGTGCTTCAGTACCTTGGTAAACCAGGAATATTTGATATACTTCGTAGAAAATGCAATGATGTAGAAATAGTGGAAAACTGATCACAGTTGGGGAAGAGTAATTTTAAAATTTGTCCTTTTGCACAGAAGCTGAATATGAAAAAGGGAATATGGGCAATTCGGGGGAGAGAAAAGCACCCTAATATTAACCATTCTCAAACTGAATAGCAGCCTCATGAAAGTCTCATCATAAATTACGTTAAGTCTCTGTACTCTGTAGAAATACAAGCAAGACAAATGATATGATATTGTTATTACAGAAATACTAGCGTATTTAACTCTGTCTATCTCCTTCACAAATGTTTCTTCCCTTTCAACTCAAAAGCATTTCTTTTAGGACATTTTAACTCGGATATACCGATACACCTTAATTCCATATTTAAACGGGTAAAAGTGCATTTATTTGAATGAGGAAAGAATATGTATGACTTTTATTTCCAAATATGTATCATCTCCATCCTTTAAATCCTTTAATTCAACCAAGTATTTTAGAGTTTTTATACTGTATTTTTAATAGTAGTTCCTATATTTCTTTTGAAATTATGACTGTCTATGGTACCTAATATTTAAATATTAAATCACCTTCAATGAATACTTGGTTAAGCTATTTAAATATCTACAAATAACCAATAATTTTGTCAATATTTAAAAGAATCACAATTAAAATTTGAATAACTGTTTTGTTCACATTTCCTTTACCCACAGATATTACAATGTTCCATGTCATTAGTAATTATAAAATAATCTCATTTTTAGTGTGTATCAGTAATAGGAATTTTTATCATCAAATAATAAGATCTAGTGAAGTCATTTTTAAAGATAAGAATACAATATACAATACAATATGAAATCCACAAAATGTAATATAGTTTTCTAGTTAATTTGTGAAAATATATATATTTTTAAAATTCATTATTAGTACATGCATTCTACTAGACGGAGTTTTAATATGTAAAGTGCTATCCTAGGATAACTGGTTATTTTCTTAAAGACTTTGTAAGTAGTTTAGAATGATGACACAAAAAAAAGTTATTTTTATATTGCAGGATATAATGCATAGATTTTTAATGCAGGTGGAGGAAATGGATCAATTCTGATAGTTTTTCTTTAAATAGCAAACTCTCAAGTCTTCATTTTTGAAGTAAATTATTCTTTTAATGTTTATGTAATTGAAGGCAATAATTTTTATTTTTTCTGATTGGCAGGGATAGCAAAGATACAATTATTCCAACACATAAAAACCTTATGAGACAATTATTAATAATACAAAATTATTTCTCTGGTTTTTCAGTTTTTCTCTGGAATATATTTTATATATTTATATATTTTATACTTTGCATAAAAATAAGCCATAATTTTTATTGATAGTTTTAATGTCTTTTTATTTAGGTTATAGTATCTGGAGACTTATGTGTATTTTCATGTAAATATGTGCTGTCTTCAGTATTCATTATTTATAGAGAGACACTGCTTATCAGGATCTGTGGCTTACCGTGGTTACAAGCAATTTTGTCTTTTGGAATTTCTCTTTCAGAAAAAAGAAATTAAGATAATCCACATAACTATTTGGAGGTTTTTTTCTTGCTTCTTTATAGAAGTTTTGAGAAGTTTTTTTTCTTGCTTCTTTATAGAAATTCGAGCTCACTTTGTAAACACTATCTGTGGAATCTCAAGACAAATGAGAAATAAACTGTAATGTGTGTGTGTGTAAAATTTGTATATTTAATAATAAATGTATAATTAAATATTTAATTATTTAGATATATATTTATTTAATAATTATTTCCTTATGTAGTTACTTAAAATTTTAACCAAGTGCGAAAGGAAGATGAAAAGAGTAATAATCTAAATACTTGATGTAATATTTGAATTTAAAGCAACTTCCTTATTTTAGGATAATATATGACTATCATTATCAAAGTAAAATTTTTCTTTTATTAATTACTTGGACTATTTTTATTGCTTATTTAATAAGAACTATTACGTAATGACTTAGTGGAAGAATACGTTTTAGGCAGATTTCTTTAAAACCTTAAACCTCAAGATAATTTGAGATTTGTCTGTATTGATATATAATGAAGTAAAGTGAACTTTTGGCAAGCATCCAGTTAATTTTTATCAATATAGTTAGACTGACCAGATGTTTTTCGAGTATTTTTTTTTCATTGCCTTTCATTGCCTTTTCTGTATTTCTATCCACCTAACCTTGAGAAAAATTATTTCTGGTTCTCATTTCAAGAAATCAAAGAAAGAGGCATACAGGGCTTGAACCAATATGGACAGTAAGAAAACTGCTGTGTATATGAAGCATCCTTTTGTAACACACTATGTAAATTTAAAGTAGAATATAAAAAGCTCTTACCTAGATAATGTGTTATACTTGCCTTCCGTAGACATTGGTATAAAGTAAATATGGATGGCTGTTACTTGGTTTGAATCCCTGGACATACTGAAGATGAGATCACTTTTATGTGGTATCAGTCATTTCTCCCCCCAAAAGTAATGAAAGCTGAGGTGACAGTTTCTTACTTTAAATATTCCAGTGCACTAAACAAAATGCCCATAGGAAAAATACCACATCTGAATATATGTACTTTCAGAAAGGTGTGTTTATTTTATTATTCATGGTATTCTTTCTCCCTCTCTCTCTCTTTTTTCTTTTGTAGCAGTTATATGCTGCCCAGCTAGCTGCAATGCAGGTATCTCCAGGAGGGAAGCTGCCAGGCATACCCCAAGGCAACCTTGGTGCTGCTGTATCTCCTACCAGCATTCACACAGACAAGAGCACAAACAGCCCACCACCCAAAAGCAAGGTACCCTTTTGAAGAAGCCTCTGTCTTGCCTCTTAGTTTTATTTTTCATTCAATGGTATTTATTAAATGTCTATTATATGCCATCAGCTTGGTTAAACTCTGGGTGTATAAGGAGGTAAGAATCAAGTAAGGGCAACAGGTGTGCATGTAAACTTATCTGCATGCATTTAATCATTTATTCACTTATTCAATATGCATGTATTGATAACTATAGTAGAAAATGTGAGAGATAAAAAAGATTATCATATGGGTATCTTGTATCCAAGGAGCTTACAGTCTGATTATGTAGATATTTATAAAAATAGCCAAATAGCCATATTCTATGATACAAAATAAATTTTATTAAAAGTTACAGATAAAGTACATTGGAAGTTATATTGGGTGGCAGAGATTACCTTCAGTGAGAGATCCCAGCAGGAGTTTGCCAGAGAAGGGACAACTGAAATAGACCTTAAAAAATGAGTAGAATTAGGACCTACAGAAAGTATTTTAAAAATATCCGTGACTGTTATAATGTGGTACAGTATAGATATAATTTTAGATAAATCACCCTCCCAGTGAAATTATCATGTAAGGAAATAAAGATAATAGTAGTGTCAGAAGTAAGGCTATTTAGAAGTAGTTTTGTTTTTGAAGCTAAGAAAACGTTAGAACACATGGAAAAGGATCAGGGGAAAGTCAAATAATGTATGTTTCTTGGCCTAAAAGGAGAGAAAAAATGATTTTAAGTTTGTATTTATATTAAGATCTTGCTTAAATGGTATTGTATAAATATATTAAGCTTTCCATGCAAGAAGTGAGAAGAGAGTGATCATAAAGCAACATTCCCTGATAATACCTAGGGAACAACCACAGAATATTTTGATTCTGTTAGAAAATGAATAGAAAGCTGACACAGGTAGTTTACCTGCAAAATATTTTTTTTCTGAATTACCTAGAAAATTGCTTCTGCTTGCCATCCCATGAATGCCATGTTGAAATGTCTGAAGCATAACAGGGTAAGAATAGTCAAAATCGTTGAAATATGCAGAGAAAAGGTTTAGAAAATATTAAAAGAGAAAAATACAAGAATCCTAAAAAAATCTTTCTCTAGTACTCTGGTGGCTCTGTCAGGATGTCTTTTGGAGTTATTGTATGTTCCAGAGAGTGAATCAGTAAGCAGAAAGGATCAATCAATCATTTGGAAAAGGGTACTCCAGCCTCCATCTTCCTAGAACTCCCCAGTCCTTTTCCATATTATTAAAAGAAAAATATTTTGGAGAATATAACTTAACCTAGAAAAGGACCCTAGACCATGATTTTCCAACAGTATGTAGAAATATACAATGAAAATTATTGTATATACTACATTGATAATAGGAGTATGCATATGCCACTTTGAATATCTATTTCAGCTGTTTAACGGACCATGCATCTTCTGTGCTTAATGTATAACTAAGGTCTGGTCTGCTCTTCTTTGTAATCACAACAGCATAAGTTTTTAAAACTTGCTAATAATTTTAACATTTATTAAATAAATTTAATTTTAAAGCAGTGATAATTTTAGTGTTTCTGTGGACCAGAAGTTTTAATATATTACCTATAAAAAATGTAGTTTCGATAAAATAAATAGCTATAGCAACATAGTCATTGTTACACACAGATACATCTGTGAGATATTATTCTCTGTTTTTTTCCTTGATTTATTGATGTAATTTCACATCATGTTTCATAACGAGGCTTTACATCAGGACATTTCACTTTATGATTTTAGGATATGTAGCTCACTTTTAAATGGCTGATAGATTTTTTTCTTCCACCTACAGTCACTTTTTGTCATTGATACCTTCTCACCAGATTTTACTTACAAAAATCATCATGAAGCTTTTGATGTCAGTCAGCCTCATCCATTTATGCATCTATTCATTTGTCCATTCAGTCATTTATCCATTTAAATGTTTATTGAGCAGTTGCTACAATGATTTTTTATTAGGAAACCAGGGAAGATGCTAACGTAACTGAAGGTTTGCTTCACTAAGATTAAGAAACTGCTTTATGAGCTATAAAGTTCTGTACATTCATAGAGCCTTATAGACTTTGTTCAAAAGAGAATGATTATTTCAGTAGTGTCCGAAATCTGCCACATCCTAGGGTTTTATATACCTCTGTTTATTTAATACAAGTGAAAAAGTAGATTGTGTTTCTGTAGCCGTGATTATACACTATTTAAAAATATATTTATAGTTCTCCTTTGAAATTCAATTACTTTTTGAAAATGAGCCTTTATGAATTTTCTATCTTATAAAGTTTAAGAAAACAGTGGGTGTTGTACTTCTGTCCATCCATAATTATTGTAAAATACACAAAGGTTTAACTAAGAACAAAGTGCCTCTTTTCAAATAACAACGATTTCATAAAAATATGGCCTTTCTATGCTCAGTGCCCTCTAGCATACTGTCCACAACCACTCTATCAGAAAAGATTTCTTAAATGTGTTTGCGTTTTAGCTCAGCAGTAAAATGTAGTGGGTTAAAAATAGCCACACCAATAAGTAATACTGTTGTCATTTTAATGAAGAACGTGACCAAAAAAATACAACCTACAGTAAATAAAGAGAACCCATTACAATACATGAATTTACTCTCTTGTAGCTTGGAATTGACATTTATGCATAGCATAATAAACACTTTGACTTCACAAAGCTATTCTATTCATGTATAATAACTATCATTTATTATCATATTTATGTTTTTAAGCAATCAATTATTAATGTCTTGGGGGTATTTTCTGTGTGTTTTATTGGCACATTTTCATGTCTATCTTACCATAAAATAGAATTATTTTATCAAAGCATTTTGTTTTGTCTACATACCTACCTGGCATAAACCAAATTGATGGTTTAAGTTAAAAGTACATTTGCTGTTTGGAACAATGGAATCATAAGTCATATCCGGGTGATGATGTGAGGATAATGATCTTATTAATAGCTGTCAAAAATTAACCATGTTCTCTGAGTTGTATTGTCAGCCCTTCTTCCTGAGTATGCCTTTGCCTTTGACTCAGAACTCTAGAGAAGGACACAAACAAAACTTATTTGCAATTTGCAAAAAAATGGAAGGGGGGAATCGAAAGGAGGGGGCTCCAAAAGACTGTAAAATTGTACAGCATGAGTCCTCTGATGCATGCTGTTTTCAATCTGCTGTGTGCCAGTTGGAGGCTTGGGGAGTGTGTGTGCGAGAGAGAAAGGATAATGCTGAGAAATGATAGAGTGGCTGTGACCTCCAAGCTCAGCCTGGAAATCCAAGACATTGATTTCACTTAGCATTCCTGCTGAGAAATCTGGCAGAGTTCAGTTGTAATAAAAGAACAAGATTCTGTTCTAATGGTAATGGCGTATGACAGACATATCACTTTGTCTGTCCTCAGCACCAGAGAGAGGAGAATTGGAGAAAGGTCACCTGACCTGCCTGTGGTAGTGTACGAGTGCTGTAGTGGGCTCTGAACTGCCACCCAGGAGCATAATTATTTATAATATTAAATGATAAAGAAAGCTTTAGAGGACTCACAGTGAACCTCTGAAAATGGCACAGTGGAATCATGTTCTGTAAATGTGAAAATACGAAAAGAAATCTGGTCTGTTCAAAGTCTGCATTCAAGAACATGCGTAGTATTGCTTCTTGAGTTACAGGTCCTTGAACTTACTGTTTGTGAACTGTTTGTGAACTGTTTGCATTAATGCCTGACATGTTGTCATTAGTTACTCTTTCTTTTCTCAATGCCTTGGTTTTATTAGTCACAAGCCAAATATATATATATATATATATATATATATATATATATATTTTTTTTTTTTTTTCCACCATGGTCTATTTTGCCAAAGACTGGATGATACGGAATTAAGAACAATGACAGATTTTTAAAATTCTCTTAGCTGTTAAAATAAAATATTTCTAAATACTTGTACACTTGTCTCTTTAGCAATAATTTAATTTGTTTTCCTTTGACTCTTACTCCAGAGCTATTTTTTTCATTGACCCACAAAAGCGAATATATTTAGCTCTTCGCAGATAGTATTCTCACTCATGTGTATCCTAACAGCTAAGTTCATGGCTAAATGTTGGTAAATAAGTCTGAATGAAAGTATAAAACCTTGAACTTTGTGACAGGAGATCCTAGTTTAATCAAAATTATAAAAATAATTCTACCTTTTCACTTTTAAGAAAATTATTTAATTGAGGTATTGTTAAACAGTATTGGCTTTTGAATCACATATACTATAACATTGCTTTGAAGCTTTGAATCTGCTTATAGCCTTAACAAATCTTTTAATTCATTTGTTTATAGCTCAGCTTTCTGCCACAGAATGAACCAATGTGCAATGTATTCAGTGATTGTCATTTTTGCACCACATATTTATTTAAATGAATTGGATGACCTTTGCTTTGTGATAGCAATTGATCTTTTGATACATTTGTTTTCTAAAAATAAATTATTTCTTTTAAATTTAATGGAATCAGTATCAGGCTTCAGACAGTTCCTTTAGGAGAAAGAGTATTTAGACTCAGTTTTATACGCAGCTCATATAATTATTAGTTATGAATAGGTTTATAATGCTAAGCTATCAGGAAGTCCTCAAGTGCTACAGGTGTGCTAAACATCCAAACTTCACATTTTAAGTGTTCTGCCATTGTAAAAGTAGCTACCCCTTGGAAAATCCTAAGAGCAACTTGTAATTACTATTAAACCTCCTTTGGTATTTGATAGAAACTTACACATTGCCTGCAGCAGCCAAGAACAGTCAGTTTAAAAAGCCGATGACAAGAGAGAATTCCTGGGTGCTTTTCTTTTAACCTTGCTATGACCCTAGTCACACCCCAAGTCACAATTGTATTTCTATCAATGGCAAGAGCACACAGATTGTCCGAATCAATTTTTTGTTCTTTTCGAGTACTTCTGGCGGTGATGTTCCCATTTGCTCAGCAGTAGCACCTGGGAGTATGACAAGGAAAAGAAATGTTTCT